ACACTGGTCAGGCCACAGCTGGAGTACTGTGTCCAGTTCTGGGCACCCCACTTCAAGAGGGATGTGGACAACATTGAGAGGGTCCAGAGGAGGGCCACCCGCATGATTCGGGGACAGCAGGGCAGACCCTACAATGAGAGGCTACGGGACCTGAACCTGTTCAGCCTTCACAAGAGAAGGCTGGGGGGCGGACCTGGTGACCATCTATAAACTCACTAGGGGGGACCAGAAGGGTTTGGGGGAGACCTTGTTTCCCCTAGTGCCCCCCGGGAGAACAAGGAATAATGGCCACAAGTTGTTGGAGAGTAGGTTTAGATTAGACATCCGTAAGAACTACTTCACAGTCAGGGCGGCTAGGATCTGGAATCAACTTCCAAGGGAAGTGGTCCTGGCTCCTACCCTGGGGGTCTTTAAGAAGAGGCTTGATGCCTACCTGGCTGGGGTCATTTGAGCCCAGTTTTCCTCCTGCCCAGGCAGGGGGTCAGACTTGAAGATCCACAAGGTCCCTTCCGACCCTGATTCTATGATTCGTAGAATCCTTAGGATGGATGCAGTGCATCTTTTAATGGTATGGAGGGCATTTCAGAAACTAATGGCAAAATAGCTGTTGTCTGCAATGAAGTGGGAAACTACACAGTAGTGGGGTATATTGATGGCAATGTTGTCAAACGCACCCGTCGTTTACGACACATAGAGAAGATGTAGAAAAGTCTGTCCGGTAAATGATTGTTGCACGCAAATTGCTTTATTCAAAATGGTTTTATTTTGAAATTGCCATTATTTTCTGGAACACCCTCATAGATTATTTCCCTTCCCTTAGTACAGTGGTTTGCAACTTTTTTAGACTCGAGGCACCTTGGGTAGACTTGAGGGACCTTTCAGAAAATGCCAGCTTAGTTTTCAGTCTTTTTTTTACAGAAAATATAATAGAGCAGTTCTTCTGTTGCAAAGAGTAGACCACAACTGTGCATTTCTACCAGAAATCTCTGGGTTTATCTTGTGAATCATGTTTGTAAGCAAAGGATGCTAACATTGTGCGGCACCCTGCAGCACCCTTGAAGGGCTCCCAAGGGTACCATGGCACCCTGGTTGAGACTCACTACTTTAGTATCTTTATTACAAGCCTAACTGTGTCCACACTAGGTGGGGTTGCATGACTTTCAACTAGAGTTGAAGATATAAATTGGTACGGCTGTTGTGAATGGATGAGGCCTTTAGGCTTTTAACTTGTTTGTGGGCTTTCAAAAATGTTTCCAACATTGTTAGCAGTGTCCATTTTCTGCTATGATTCATTTTCATACGTTAAGTAAAAATACATATTTCTGTGAGATAACAGCAATCATCATGATACACCATGAAGAGAATATTTTCAGAGTAATGTCATTCTATGCCAGCTTGACTATTATAAATGCCTTTCATTTCTCTCTTGTGCAAATTAAAGTACAGTAATCTGTTCTGCTCTAATGATTTTAACACGTTGATATCACTTCTGTCTTTGCTGCAGGTTTAAGAAAAAGATTGCTATTAATCACTGAAAGGTATTATATGAACGCCCTTCCTTAGGAAGCAGTAATTTATCTAAGCATAACTGTTTTTTCTCCATCTTTAAAACATTGTTATAGTTTGTCTAATTCTAGCTACATTGAAATATAAACTAGCAAGGCAGCAAGTGCAATTCTCCAGCATTCTGGTGTTTTATTAAAGACTGTACATTGTTTAAGCAGGGTAGCATTAGATTTTATTTTTTTTTGCAAAGCTCATTAGTTATTTATCAGATTACTATACACTTAAAATATAGCAAATATTTACAACACAGTGTTTTATTCCTTAGCACAGACAAACTTTTGTCTTTTCTGTAAGCATTAGCCTTTATTTGTTAAAACTCGGTAGGTTGTTAAAAGAAACTTTGTAAGGCATCTTAACGTAAAGATAGTGAATCAATCTGCTTCAGTTGCTAAAAACTTCTTTTTTGTGTTTTAGCAATCCTTGTAACTATTTTAAAAGACTGACTTAATTACTCTAATTATGGTACTCTAGAAATATTGAATGTGCCAATGTTTTCTCTCTCGTTGCAGTTTATATCATGGTATCATCTACAAATAATCTGCAGAACACTTGTTTGTTTTGTGAGAAGACTTGTTTTCTGGCAAAATATAAATGTAGAGAAGCATTAAAAATAGTAATTCTATAAGAAAAGAGATTCCTGGGAAGGGGATAGCAATTACAGAGTTACCTACAACAATCCTTTAATCTCTTAATAAAAATCACTCCTGCAGAACAGGACACTTTATTTTTGAAAATTACAGTGCTGAAACACAAGACCTTCAAAATGAGGGTGTTGATCAGTAAAACCAGTGTTCAAACCATACTTTGCATCTAATGTGTTCAACGTGGGCAGCTATTATAACAGATTTTGTTTTAATGGCTTCCTGGACTGTCTGGTCCTCTCACGTATGGCAAGAAAAAGAGCAAGCCTTGTTTAACCCCTTCTGGCAATTCCCTAAATTTCACTTGCAGCTGCCTTTCCAGCCTCCTAGGGTGCACACTCAGTATTTTAAAATAACTTCTCTCTCTTGTATAGCAGTTGTCAACAACAGCTCTCAGCATAATTATCTGTGTTTTATATAGGAGGAAACAGACTCAGAGCAAAATGGTTTGCCCAAATTAGTGGCAGAGGTGGAAACAGAACCCAGGTCCCTGAGCCCTATGTTAGGGATCAATCCACTAGGCTACATTTAATTCTCCTAGTTGATTCCACTTCTTTATGAGTAGCATAGGAGACACTGTAAAGGATACTGTGTGCTCCACTTACATGCACATTAGATAAGCGCATAAATTGCTTAACTGTATAAGCCAATGTCAACTCCATTTTTTTTTTGCCTAGTATCAGTTATCTGCATATTGGTTAAGTGCACAGGATCTTCCAGCTCCACTGTCTACTTTGTTATGTGCTTTTACTCCATTTAATTGCCTAATTATTAGCTCTAGAAACCCTGAAAAAGAAACAGCTGTCAAAGGCCTGCTGGAAGCCTAGATGGGAGCCAGTCAGCTTTGGGGCTGTTATTGGAAGCTCTGAAACTAGCTCCCATCATTTTCAAAGCCTCAAATAGCAGCCAGACATGACTGAAACTAGTCTGTTCTGGTGCTGCTAATACTACAGTACTGTGATCTTAATAAGCATTGCTTACTTTATGATCCAGAGAGTACATACTCCAGGTCAGTGTGTATAGTCCAAGGGTCAGCAACGTTTTTGGGCAGAGTGCCAACCTCCCCCCCCAACCTTGACTCATAAAATGTTGATATGCCAGGGGTGGACGATGGGGGAGCTGCGAGGGCCCGATTCTTGTGGCAGTGCAGGCCAGCCCCTTCCCGGCCATCCACCCCGACATGCATGCTAAGCAAAATGCCTTTGCGTGCCATGCTCTGGCACATGTGCTGGGGCTTGCCAACCCCTAGTATGCTCCCAAGACCCTGCTCCTAAACAGAGCATACTGTGATCTGCTTTATTTTTCTGACTCTTCAGTGCTTTGCTTAGGATGGAGCCTGTTAGGGAGATTTTGACTCCACTGTTTTTTATTGGAAAATGCTAATTTGTCAAAACTGAAACCACTTGCAGGGGAGGGACAGTTTCAAACAATTTTTTGGTTTGCAAATTTGGGGGAGGGAAATATTTCAGACTTTTCTAAATTTCCTATT